CGTGCGTGTGGCACGAGGGGGTGCTCGGAATTTACAGTTGAAAAACGGTTTTCCGAGTTTACTCATGGGACGGGAAACTTCTCGCGAATGTCACGCCGCTTTGCGTGATCATTTCGCCACAGGTACAAAACGGTTATTCCGCTTTTCAAACGGTAAAAGCCGTTTTACAACTGTGAGCTCGCATGAACTCATGAAAGCTACATTGGAGTCACATGCGAGTCTCATGAGTGTACACATTTGAGTCAGCAGGGGCAACTGTTACAAGTGCAATTTGAAGACAGTTTCTAACAAGAGGGGGATATAGCCAAATGTTCAAGGAGTTGAACAACCGTTTTCAAATACAGCTTGGCAAAATCATGCGACCTAGTTAAACAACTGTTTTATGCTTGCTCCTGTCTGTGCGTAGAATTTATATAAATGTGTATGCTTGTACCTGTCGAAATTAATCTAATGCATTCGCGTTTTTCCAAGCTTGAATTCTACTACTTCGTATTTACGAGAGTCGAAACGATCACGGTGTTGCCGAAACTCTGCTCGACCAGTTTACTTGTTCTATAAGCATAAGCAAGGCATAACTACTCACTTGCATTTTTATTACGCCCTTGGCTAGGAGGTGACAAGCTGTCACACTCAAAGGGTTGCAAGTGATGTTAAGTGTTGCTAAACTTTGTTTGTAGTTCCAGTTTAATCGCTTTCGCATAACGTTATATCAGTCAACACACACACACACACACACATACACACACACACACACACACACACACACACACACACGCAAAAAAAAACAAAAACAAAACAAACAAACAAAAACACGGCTCCTCACAGAGCATACCTGATGGGGGCGGCGGAGCAGGGCGGGCGCAGGTGGAGCCGAGGGTGCCGTTGGTGGGGACGAAGCCGTCGTCGCACTCACACGTGAAGCGCGCCTCTGCTGCCCCCGCCTGCGGCGGCACACACGCTCCGTGCCCGTCGCACGGCCCCAGCTCCCGCGACATGCTGCAGAATGCCAGGCACTCGTCGCTGCTGCGCTGCGTCTCGTTCGCCGTGCACTCCATCTGCTTGCTCAGCGTGAAACAGTTCCCCAGCAGACTCGCCTCGCCCCGCTTGTCTGCTGCTCGGGCTATGTCAGTGATGAGACCTTGCATGAAGCGGAGTACACAGCGACTCTGTCCTGGAAAGTTGAGTTCATCTCTGTCTAAGAGATGAGACTGGGTGATTTGGGAGGGGCAGAACTGGCAGCCATCGGCATAGAGCATGGGGTCGCCATAGAAGAAGTTGCCTGCGATGTTGAGCAGAGCGCCGTTGTCAGGAATCATGCTGCGGAAGTTGCTGTTGATGGGGCCGTAGAAGCTGTTGTTGCTGATGTCACTGGAGGGAGCGGAGAGAGACACACAAGAAAACGTAGGGTGTGAAAATCTGGTTTCATTCAGTGACATTCAGAGCCATGCAGTGGCATCCACTGTCATCCAGTGCCATCCACTCGTCCAAAGCTTACTGACACATGAGCATCTCTGTTAATGCCAATCAAAGGAAGTGTGCATGGGTCGACAGCACTGCTCACTGCTCACATCCGGTGGAGACAGTTTTCAAAGAGGCAGGACGGAAACTTTCCATAGAAGTAGTTGTTGTGAAGAAACCTGAAAGCAACGCACATGGTTTTTCAACATGAGTCGTTCTTGTCTTGGAAAATGAACAAGTGAAACATGCGATGTCGAACAAAGAGCATGGCATATGACATGGTATAAGCAAGGACACAAAAGAGGCTTTATTCGATTCACTATAGCTTGTTTTTTTTTCTTCTTCTTCTTCTTCTTTTAGCAAATGAGAAGTGCACACATGAAGTCTGGTGAATAAAGAAGCTGAAAGCAGTTGGCTTCTCAGTAAATGATGTGGCAGATATGGCTTGGTTGGATTGGAAGGCGGCGTTACACGGTCTGCAAGTTGGTGAGGTTGCATACGGAGGGAGCATTCCAGTGAGCTGGTTTCCAAACACAGACCTGCCAGCAACATGCAGAAGCCGTTGATGCGAGTAAGAGTACGAGTGGGCAGAAAACAGGAGTGACTTGGCGGAAGTAGCTGCACACATGGATTTGCTTGATTGTAATTGACGCAGCGAATGCACTTTGATCAAGCCTTAAGAGAAGTGTGGCTTCACAGACAGCTTGGAGAGCGAGCGTTTGGAAATAGGAATGGGGGTCATCAACATTAACCAAAATTCAGGCAAACGAGTGCGTGATCAGTTTACAGAGTATGGAGGTTAGAGAGGGCGCCAAGGGCAGAGGGCATCGATCCTGAAATGTTGTTTGAAGCAAGGTCCCTGGTGGGGGTACATGGAAGATACTATGGAGTGACACAGTGACACAGTACAAAAGCAACGCGAATGAAGTACACAGTACTCTAGAAGCTGGCTCCCAGATGGGTCCACACATACGTGGGACGGCTTGAAGCAATGTGGCAATGTGGCATTAAGTGTGGTAAAGAAATGGGAAAAACAAAATGAAAACAATGGGGGGAAAATGGGAAAAAATATGGAAAAGAAATGAGGGCAAAGCAGCAATCCATTACATGGCCTCAAGGTTGGTCAAGGCTAGCAGCGATGTGGGAAAGCTTCCAGAAAGCTGATTGTTGCGCAGTGACCTGCGAGGATTGTGGGAATCGGTTGGTTGGAGTATGGGTGGTGACGGCAATTTTAGTAGAGTTGAGCAAAGTATCACTGTTGCTTTTCTACTACTCGAGCCTGGAGATGTTCGGCCGTTTGGTTCATTTCGACCATCAGTCATAAGCTGCTTCGAACGGGATCTTACTATGAACCGCATATTCCCTCCCTAATCGAACCAAACTGCTGCTCTAGAAGGTTCTGCTACAAGAGCGGACCTCCAACCTAATCCCTGCACATTTCGGTTCAACCTGAACAAGTGATCGGTTCGACTAGGGGCCATATTTGAACTGGTTCGCAGCGAACCTGTCCAAGATCAGTACTTGCTTATCCCTACAAAATAAGTAGCAAACCACCATGATTTGTTTCACGCACCAGCTGCAGCTCACTATATTTCCACTTTTAGGGGCGAAAATAGCACGAGCATACCATCTGTCATAATGCTTACCACTACTGTAATGAGACATCGCATTTCTTGTAGAACCTGCATATCTCCTCTCCGTCCCAAGTAAAAGAGACCCAAGCTATCAAGGCGTCCCTATGTATCTTCAATTCAAACGATAGGAGAATCCAAACACTCGCAATTCAACTGACTCAAGGGCGCTTGGCTAAGAATACTGTGCACCGTACGGTCCGGACTGTATTCCCCTGCATATAGGCCCCTAGGGGCCTCTAGTTTTTTTACTTTTTTTCAAGGGGGTGTTTATTCTATTTGTTTTGTTATATAAATATTGATGTGTGTGCATATATATATATATGTATATGTATATGTTTTTTTGCCTATCATGAGGAAACATCCACACTGCCATCATGTATTTCAAAAGCCAAAAACTCTATGAATAGAGTAGGGGCATATGATTAAAAAACCCTTATCGTTGTTGCGTATGTTAATCACCGGGGGGAAAAATAAGGAGGGGGCTCTTCCAGGGGAATACGGTAGCATCTTCAAAGAACAACAAAGCACCAAGCTGGGGTAGTGCTTCCACAATGACCGCAAAAATCATTGGAGCACTGGCCAAGGAACGGAACACTCACAGGGCAGTTACAGAGGTGAGAGCGCTGATGGACTCAGGAATAGACCCTGTGAAATTGTTGTCTCCTAGCATCCTGCTTGCACGTAAAGCCAATCCAAACACAACCTTGCTCGGAAGGTATTTTTAGAATCTAAAGGGAGGATGAACTTGGAACTATACAAGAAGACAAAGCGCATTTTGGAAGCTGTTGATGAGGAATCCAGTTTTCGTTTTCAATGCTATTCAAGTTAATGCTAATGCGTACAGCTAGGCATGAGCAGGGGGCGAACTCGAACATGTTCGTGTTCGCCCCCTGACGAACATGTCCTTCTGCCGAACCGAACAGTGTTCGGTTCGGCGAACGACTTGAGTGAAAATAGGTGTTCGCCGTTCGCCCTAGGAGGCGAACGAATTGCTGCAACAGGCGAACACGAACATGTTCGTGGCGAACATGTTCGTGTTCGCCCAGGGGGAAATTCAATATAGAGTAAAATTCAAATCGTTGCACATTCCCTCCCCCCACCTCCCAAGCCAGTCCCTCCCTGCTTCATCCATCTAGTGCCAGCGTGCAACGGCGAAATGCTAGATCCGCACTTAAGCAACGGCGAAATGCTAGATCCGCACTTAAGCAACGGCGAAATGCTAGATCCGCACTTCAGCAACGGCGAAATGCTAGATCTGCACTTAAGCAACGGCGAAATGCTCGATCCGCACTTAAGCAATGCCAAAATGCTAGATCCGCACTTAAGCCACGGCGAAATGCTCGATCCGCACTTAAGCAACGGCGAAATGCTCGATCCGCACTTAAGCAACGGCGAAATGCTAGATCTGCACTTTACTAACTGCGAAAGGCCAGATCTGAGCCCAAACACCAAGGCCCGCGACCTAAAAATTGGTCGCGGGCCTATTCGTCGACGAACACATTGGTGTTCGTCGAAGGCCTGTGTCGAACACGAACACGTTCGTGTTCGACGCGCCTCGGCGAGCTGAGCCGGGCGAACGGCGAACGTGTTCGGGCGAACACCGAACACGTTCGCCCCGAACAATTTAGGCAAAAAAAAAATCATGTTCGGTTCGCCTCGAACGTGCAGGAATTCGTCATATTGCTCATCCCTACGTGCAGCTTCTGGTCTGTGATCGGCTTACTGACATTATGGTAATTGGAGCCTTCCAGAGGGAAAAAACAGGAAGGGAGTCCGAAAGCTCATTCCCTTGAAGGTTCCTGCGAGTCAATCAGTGGTCAGCCAGGGAATCAAGAAGCAGCAGACACAATTGTCAATCAACGAACCTATGCGATGAAGAAAGAAGCTCAATAGGGCCCATTAAGGCCAATGGCGTGGCAGTCCTTAATGGGGGCCAACAGTGTGGCAGTGCTATTGGATGGATGCGTAAAAAAACTTACAGAATGTAGAGGTCCTTGTTTGAGAAGACTGGCAAGGTTCCACTCAGATAGTTGTGCTCCAAGGTTCTGATTGGTGCACAATGTGCAGAGAAACCACAATGCAAACAACAGAAGGGAATGAATGCACCACCCTCCACGCGTTATCCCCTCCAATACCATCTCCACCACTCTGGGAGGAGCTCATCGTGCGCTACACCATAAACCTGACGTCCCCGTAAACACGCAACCACAAACTCATTCTAGTACGCGTGGAACAAGAACCTAAAGCTGTGAATCAAATAGTGGATCTTGCCTACTCACACTCGAAGGAGGCCCTAAAACCGACTTAACCGCACACTACAGTTATAAGTTGTTTCAACCTTAAAACTCTGCCCCAAACCAGGTTGCCTTAACGATTTTACCTAAATAACTGTGAGAATGCTCTGAAATGGCGGAGGGTTGGGTGAAATAGTCTAATAAGGTGCTGGAGCTCGAAAATGTGCTGCAACTCCCGCTGTCGTTGTCGTTGTCGTTGTCGTTGTCGTTGGGCCTCGAGTCGAACACGAGCCGGTGGGCCTCGAGCGGAGAAAGGAGGAGGAGGAGGAGGAGGAGGAGGAGGAGGAGGAGGAGGAGGAGGAGGAGGAGGAGGAGGAGGAGGAGGAGGAGGAGGAGGAGGAGTAGGAGGAGGAGGAGGAGGAGGAGGAGGAGGAGGAGGAGGAGGAGGAGGAGGAGGAGGAGGAGGAGGAGGGGAGGAGGAGGAGGAGGAGGAGAAGGAGGAGAAGAAATGACTAGCAATGCATGATTGCCAGCTTACATTTCAGCTAATGGAAGTGACAACAACGTTGATGGAATCTCGCCATGAAAGTTGTTTCGGCCAAGATTTCTGCGACCATAGAGAGAGAGAGAAAGCATGATCTGCATATGTTCAAAGCTTTTGTTCAGATCGATAGTATATGTTAGCTTTTTTGGAAGTCCCAGAACGAGGTTTCTCCACACGCATGATCTGGAATATGTGATTCTCAGCTTCGTTTGGACTCATCGTGATGAGATGAAGGAATACTCATTTTGCAGAACCTCTGGCCTAGTAACCGTTCTAGTGTTGCTTTCTTAGCATGAGGTCTTGAGTCGAGCTTCACTATACAAGGACACACCCCCAAGTATCTTTAAGAAACGAATCCAATTTGCCTTGTCAGTCCCATATAGATATGAGCACGAACCGAACTCAAACATGTTTGCGCAAACCTTTTCGAACCTTGCATGTTGGTCGAACCGAACCGAACAGGTTTGCTCGAACTTTTTTCAGACTTTTAAGGTTTGAGATTTGAGTATACAATGGCGAACCCTAAAGGTTTGCTCAAACCTTCTAAGGTTTGAGCGAACTCGAACCTTTTTCATGTTTGAGGTTAAAAATGATGCACATGTTATTCTACAACACATGCATGTTAATGGTTTATGGACAACATCACTAAGCTGTCAAACCTAACAAACAAGTTAAAGTTTGACACATCCTAAGTTGGAGCTGAGGTGAAAGAACGGTAGTGGGGAGGGAAGCATTGGGTGAGCTAGAGTTGATCTAGATCTCGATATCTACTCTGCTACGAGATTAGGGTTGGCTGCCTCAACTGGCAGCCAACGTACGTCTTTCCCATTTTTGACGGGAAAGTCGCGCATGTATTCTTTCTGACGTTAATTTACTTCGAACCCCTCGCGGTTCGAATTTGACCCTTTTGAACCTCGAACCTGTTTGGTTTGAGGTTCGAATCTCGAACCGGAAAAGTTTGCGCGAACTGTTCGCGCGAACTTTTTCGAGGTTTGCTCAAACCTTTTTCGCAGAAAAAAAAGTTCGGTTCGAGATAATTCGAACCGAACTTAAGTTCGGTTCGATGCTCATATCTAGTCCCATGAGATGCAACCCATGCTACACGACCTGCACGCATCCATGCTACACCATACATGCTATGCTGCTGATCTGGCATTCTTGAAATCCAACCATTATGGGAAACTGATACTGACAGAGAGAGGAGGCTTTCCATTCTAGAGATGTCACTGGGAATGGTCCCATGAAATGAATTTTGGCTGATGTCCCTGTTATGAAAGACACATTCAAAGAAGAGTTGCAATTGGGAGCATAGACAATTCTGATTCAAAGTGTGTGCCTAAATAATTGATTGGAGAGAACAAATTATAACATATAGAAGTGACTGGAAATACATTCAGTGTTTTCAATCCGTGTACAGCACACATGCTGTCAAGAATTGTTCTAGTCAGGGGTTTTCCGTTTTTCAAGCATCCCGCGTTTTCAAGTGTTCAAACTTAAGCGTCTCGATGATAAACGATCACATGGAAATGTGCATAGAGATTTTTCCGCAACCATCAAATCCAGTAACTGCCACCAATGCAAGAAAGATTGATCAGCAGGCTAACAGGCAAGATTCGCCCCTTTCCCTGCGAGAGCATACAGAGTAAAGAGGTTGGTGAGCTTCAGCAGGACTGTGGGGAATGACCCTTGAAGATTGTTGCCTTGCAAAGTCCTGTACAAGTAAGAAAGGGGGGGAATGGTGACATGGGGTGTTGTGTTGGGAAGTGACGCAGGGGAAGGAACAGACAGGCAGTCAAAACCTTTTGCGTGTGAAGTTAGGAGAGTAGATACTGGGGTTGAAAATCAGTCAAAAAACAATTGGTACATACATCAAGTTAAACACAGTCAGTACGTAATGGTCACCATGCAAGCAAGAACAGCAGTGCAAACAAGCAACTCACAATTCATAGAGTTGTGAAAGGGAGGAGAAGCTTGAATAGCCATGTGTGAAAGTGTTAAATGATACATCCCTGCAATGCAAGCACAAGCACACCAAGTGCATCATAGCAATCGAAACAATCTCGCATGCAAAAAGTTCACCTGGAATCAACAACACCGTCAAAATGGAAGAGGCAAGGCCCAATACCAAGAAACAACAAGTCCTGCATTGCACCACCTAAGAACAGCAAGTCCAACACGTTGCGTTTCGTCGTCTCAATGTGTTGGCTGTTGTTGGGTTGAAAGCTCACAGCTTTGAGTTGCATATCAAGTCCTGACATTAGCAAGTATCTCTAAGGCGCCTCACAACTTGAGCAGCAACGTACAATGCCTGCAGCCTATTTTTGAGGCGCCTCAAAAATAGACTCCTCACAGTTTGAGGAGCAACGTACAATGACTGTAGCCATGTCATCTTGCCCAGCACCTCAAGCCCTGCGTTTAGCTGGTTGTATTGAAGCGATCTAAAACAGCAAAGCACACGAGGCAGCAGCAAGCATCAAGAGGCAGGAGAACAAGCGCAAGGAGGGCCTAGGGAAAAGAGAATGGAGGACGGATGTGTATGTCGAAGCGCCGCCACCCTGCATCGGCACAGTAGAGAGGCTTGGAAACGAATAAAAAGCCTGTCAGTCACTTATTTACATGTCAGTCAGATGGGGTACGGTACAGTATCCAAACAAGAAGACCTCCAAAGGTCCTTTGCCTCACTCACCAGATTCGAGGCCAGAGATGTACAACACATGTGCATAGAGCGACCACAAATCCCCTTAGCCAGGGTACTTTCCAACCAAAACACTATCCACTTTGAGTATCCTCCAAAATTGCTCAGAAACAAAATTCAGCACAGACCTGAACTAGGGTTGAGCACGGGGGCGGGCTGGGCCCGGCCGGAAACTGCCCCGGGACGAACCGCAACTTAGAGGTTCGGCCCGCCGGGCCGTCGTCGGCCCGCTTTTGGCGCTCGCTCCTGCATACACTCCACGATCTTCCCCTAACGAATCCAGTGGTAGTTCTTTGCCGCAGTAACAGTGCAGATAGCTCTTACATGAATATGAGATTGGAAAGGCTGGTGAGAGAGCTTGGCACGGCCCCTGAGAAGTAGTTCGTACAAAGGACCCTGTGGGAAGGGAGTGGCGCAAAAGTGCGTTTATGTCTGTAACGCATGGCAACAATGCAACACGGATGTATAGTTGATCAAGCTATGACGAGCTTTGAGACGTGCCAAAATTTGTATGGTTCGGCAAAGATGAATACTCACAGGCATGAGTTACAAGATGAGATGAACACCACTTATGGCATATAGATGACCACTCACAACAGATAGATGACCACTCACAACAGATAGATGACCACTCACAAGTTTGTGAGGCCGGGGAATGTGCCAATGAAGGATGGGATGACGCCAGAGAAGTGATTCTCAGAAAGGTCACTGGTATCAGAGCAGAAGGGAGAGCCACACGCGCAAAACCGTTGAGCAAACAGCATAGCAACACCATAGCAACCCAAGAAAGCCAGAATAAAAAGAGATACACCGCAGCATGAATGACACAGGGGGAAAGACAAGAGAAGGCGGGGCCGAGATCGGGGCGGGCATGGGAGCGGGCATGGGGGCGGGCATGGGGCCGGGCGGGCATGGGGTTGTACAGATTCTTGAGGGTAGTGGAGAGGACGGGTGGGATGGTGCCGTCCATAGCGTTCCTGTCCAGTATCCTGGTTCACAAGCGTGGGTGGGATGGGAATGTTTGAGAAACAAACAATTTTCATATCTTGATGGGCCAGGGCAAAGTAAAAAAAGGGCGAGGGGGGGTGGGGTGGGGGGGGGAGAGGGGAAAGAGGGCGTGGTGTGGGAAGGAGGAAGGGGGGACAGTTGGGGGAAGAAAGAGGGGTGCGGGAGAAACAGGGGGGTGAGACCGCTCGTTGAAAGAATTAACAAAGCCTCCATTTTTTTCCGGTTGACGCTGCTGCTGTCCAATAAGTTTGGATCCTTCACATGGTTATTCTCCCAACCAGCCCCTCCTCATCTTCCAAAGTTACATGTAAGGCACCGCAATATTCCAACAGTCAATTCTGTTTCTTCAAAAGCCCATCATGTACCGAAAGGTGTTCGAGATGAATCTTTGTAAGCTCGGATCTTCAGCTGGGTAAGAATACAGCCTGACTTGGTCCAACCGGGTTTCGGCCCACCATGACATACGGCCTGACTAGGTTTGACCTATGCCGGCGACCTAGGTTCGACCTGTGCAGCTGTGCTCATGCCTACAATGTGCTCAGCGTTGTGAGAGCAGCGAATGTTGATGGGATGGAGCCCTCGATGCTGTTGTAAGCAAGGGATCTGTGCGAAACTCTTAGGATCGTAAACACCTTAGTCGGCAATAGTCTACTTGCTATTGCTTATCGTGTTCTCCACGATCTCACGAATCCAACGATATGCGCAGCTCTGCTTGAAGTTGTCAATACACACTTCAGCAATTTTCAGAATCTCAATGTTGTCCAATGTTGTATTTCCAGAATGAGTACAAACAGGTTTATAGTCAGGCAAGACACAAAATGCGATTCGTAACTTCACTTGTTTCCCAAGTAACCGCGTGCGCCTCGTTTCACCCCGAGTCGCACACGGAACTGAACCGAATGCACCGAACACTTCTTGAGTCCGAATCTCGAACCTTCTCGAACGCGCCTCAAGCTCGAACCACAATTTCCCCCGTCGATCTCATTCTCGATGCTTCTCCTTCTCTATTCCTCCTTCCTGCACATTCCTTCTCGATTTCCTTCCCGCTTCTCACGCCGTAGCTTCTATTCTCCACCGTAGGTCGATTTCCACCGTCTTAGATCTAAAATCTCCCACGCGCTCCATTTCTCCGTCATTCCGCATTTCGCCGTAGGTTCCGTGGTTGGGCGAACCAACCCTAACAATCTCCCCTGTGGTTCGCCAACCGCGAACTCTACTCGCACTCCTCCCCTGCTCCTCGTAGCCTTCACAGGGTCTAAGTCGGCTTCATGCTCCCCTGCAGCTCCTGCACCTTGAACTTCTGCTTACGTGTCTTGAAGTTGAGCGCCTTGACATCCAAACCTTGAGAGATTTTCTTAAGCCTCTCACTTCTCCTCGGCATCTTAACACCCAACACATCTCGGGTCTCGTACCCCTCAACGTGTTCCTCCTTCGTAAGCACTCGCCCCTTTGCAGTTGCTTTCACCTTTGATCCCTTCACCATGATGTCCCCATTCACAGCGACTCCCACACACTTCGCATTTACTGCTTCATCTTTAACCACGACCGCTGCTGCAAAAGTGTTGACACCATCTCCATCTCCATCATTCACCGCTGCTGCCTCCATGGTGACTATCTCTTCTTCCTGCTTCACTGCTGCCTCCACACTCGCTCCCGTATCATCCGTGTCCTCGCTCTCATCAACCTTAGTAGACCCAGGATCCTCATAGATCTCATCCTTATCGTTCATCGCGACCAAGTTCATCTCATAGAATCCGTCACTGAAGTATCCATCGGCATACTTCTCCCACTCAGGACCAAACACAGTCACCTCGCCACTGTCATAAAATATCTTGCACCCCAAGTCATCAAGCTGTGACTGACTGACCAAATTCACCTTTAAATCCTCAACCAGCAGCACACTCTCCAGTTTCACCTCTCCATACGGACTCTGCAGCACCACGTCACCCTCTCCTGTCACTGGTAACTTCCCACTGTTACCTTGCAGTATATAATCCTCACTCGACTCCCTCACATTCACCATCCAATCTGACTTGAAGGTCATGTGACGCGTGCATCCGCTGTCCATGAACCATGCCGTCTTCTTACGTCTGTCCGTCTGACGAACATCCTTCGGTAAACGCACCACGTTCGCAAGATGCGCTCCTCCCAAAATCACATCCTCCTTTTCGGCTTCCGCTACATTCGCCTTACCCGCCACAATCCTCTGCTGCGACGGACCCTTGTAGCTCCTGCTGTTCGGATTGGAGTAGCACTCTGCGGCACGATGCCCATAGCGCCCACAATAATCGCACTTGCCGCCAAAACCTCGTTTCTGTTGCCACTCTGCTCCCCCATTTTCTCCTTTCTCGTTCTCCACCGCTTTGCCCTTGTAGTTTCTGCTTCGCGGATTTTCGTAGCAGTTTATCGCCTTATGCCCCCTCTTTCCACACTGGTAGCACGCTCCAAACGCCTTCGTGGCATTCACCAAAGCCGGCCTCTCCTCGTCGAATTCCGTAGCTGCTGCTGCCGCTTTCTTTTTCCTCATCTCCTTCACCGTCTCAAGCGATTGCAGAATCTCCTGCAGCTTCGTCAAACTCTCCGGCGGTTGGTACGTAAACATACCGATGTCGGATTCCCACTCCTTAGGAAGGCCTTGCATGATATAGTCAATCATCTCGTGCTCCGTCTCCGCGGCTCCCATCACCCGCAAGTCGTCGTTGTAGTTTTTCGCCCTGTTGATGTAGGTGATGATTTTCTCGCCTTTCTCCATGCTCAGCATCAGCAGTTGCTTCCTGATCGCCTTCTTGTTTACATCGTTCGTACCCATGTACGTGGACTCCAGGTACTCCCACGCTCGCTGTGCAGAGTTCAGCTCCCGTTGAAGCGCTGGGCTTCACTGAGCCCGATCGTCGGTTTCGCCACCAATCGGCCACTCGCAAGGGCCTCGAGAAGAGCCTTCAACTGCGGGTCTCCAAGACTTACACTGGAACCCGAACTCGCCTCGTCTCCCATAGCGTAGGCGTGAACGACTCCTCTTCTCCACTAATTTCACTTAGCGCACCAAGTGAATTCACGACGATCGACGCGCCCGTTCGCCAAGCTCTGATACCAGTTCTTAAGATCGTAAACACCTTAGTCGGCAATAGTCTACTTGCTATTGCTTATCGTGTTCTCCACGATCTCACGAATCCAACGATATGCGCAGCTCTGCTTGAAGTTGTCAATACACACTTCAGCAATTTTCAGAATCTCAATGTTGTCCAATGTTGTATTTCCAGAATGAGTACAAACAGGTTTATAGTCAGGCAAGACACAAAATGCGATTCGTAACTTCACTTGTTTCCCAAATAACCGCGTGCGCCTCGTTTCACCCCGAGTCGCACACGGAACTGAACCGAATGCACCGAACACTTCTTGAGTCCGAATCTCGAACCTTCTCGAACGCGCCTCAAGCTCGAACCACAATTTCCCCCGTCGATCTCATTCTCGATGCTTCTCCTTCTCTATTCCTCCTTCCTGCACATTCCTTCTCGATTTCCTTCCCGCTTCTCACGCCGTAGCTTCTATTCTCCACCGTAGGTCGATTTCCACCGTCTTAGATCTAAAATCTCCCACGCGCTCCATTTCGCCGTCATTCCGCATTTCGCCGTAGGTTCCGTGGTTGGGCGAACCAACCCTAACAGAAACCGGGATGGAAATGGAAGTACGAAACGATGCATGAGAATTAGGTTAGGAGGTATGCGTGGAGCGAGAGGAAGGTGGGACGAGAGAGAGCTACTGGCCGAAGGAAACGCGATGAGAAGCTATGAAAAGCTATGAGAAGCAATGAGCGGCGAAGAGATGGCAAATGCGTCCAAAACGAATTTCATACAATGAGAAGCAATGAGTTGAGTAGCATAGCGCGAAAAGAATTCAACTCATACAAAAGGGGGAGTTGGAGCTGAGAGTGTATGCCAAAACAAATTCACCACAGGTGTGCCAAAAGCAAGGCTTACAAGAGAATTAGGCAAGCCTTACAGGAAAGTAAGGTGCTCCAATGAGGTCCAGTACTCTGGGAGAGTCCCTACCAGCCCATTGCCTGTCGCATCACTGCCATTCAAAAACGAGGCGCAAGCACCATACAAGGGGTGTCCGCATCCATTAATGGCAGCTTCGTGAAAACATTGTTAATTCTCTCACTTGCTGGATACTCCTTTGGCTAGAAACTCCTTTGGCTAGAAACTCCTTTGGCTAGAAACTCCTTTGGCTAGGAACTCCTTGGCTTTATCAGCACATCAAAAGAGCTGTCGCTCCGCATGCATGGACTTACCATTGCAACTCGCCCGAGCCAGTCCGTTCAAGCAACTCATCCGCCAGACCAGTCATGCAAGGGGGGGGGCCTCTAAGCGTTAGTATTTCTTAAAGTCACAGCTGGTTTTCCACGAACTCTCTTTCAGCCCATGAACATCTGCAGCAAGGCCCACGGCCACAGCTTCTTGAAATAAAAAGGCCTGAAGGCGGTTGGCGGTTGGAGACTGGAGGCACTCATGAAAGAGGGCACAAATTCAGGCCGCAACCTGGAGGCACTCACAAGTGTTGCAGCTGGTTCAGGCGGGAGAGGTCTTGCGGCACCACCCCTGTGCGGAGATTGCTGGCATGAAATGCATCCCTGGCAGGCATGAATGGGTTGAGGGATGGAAGGACCAGATGAATGCACAGCCTCCTATGTGCAGGTAGTAGCAGTTTTGCTCAGGATGTGATGGCTCCTGGCTGGCTGCTGAAAAAATCTATTCGCTGGCGTATAGAAGCACTCATGTCAGGTCAGGATAAACAAGGAAGAGGACATGCAGAGTACAAACATCCAATCCAACAACCCCACACAGATTTATATTACAGTAAGTGTTCAGGTATCAACTGTGGCACACTAGTGTGACATGCTAGTGTGACAGACTAGTGTGACATGTGTGCATGCTTACAGGTACTGCAAAGCAGTCAAGTCCATGGCCCATCGGGGGAATTGAGAAGTTTGCAGGCCCCCCAGGTCCCTGCGGCATGTGAGCATGATTTCGCAATGGATCATGGAATATGAGCTTGATGGTATTAGTCAGGAAATAACGCACGTGGCCTTCAGTAAGACATGGTTGGGTTGGAAATGGGAAGGGAAAGGATGGAATGGAAAGCTAACAGACCGTCTTCCAATGGTGAGTCGGCAAACTTCCAAGGACCCACTTGGCATCACATCAGAGGAGGGTCACAGGTGAAGGGTTGGCTTTTAAGATGCCTCAAAAGGCCGGAAACTGGTTGAGATTTGAGGGCTCTCACAGGCAAGTGAGGGAATTGAGGGTGATGAGCAACTCCCTCACGCAGATAAGGGAGGACTTACAGGTAAGTGAGGGAGGTGAGGGTGCCGAGCAGCACCGGCAGCTCTCCGGTCCAGGATACCTCCGAGATGGTGCTGTTGAAGGAGGGGAGGGGCACATGATGGGTCATGAGATGGTGCTGCGGAAGGGGGTACATGACTTGTAATGACGGAGGGATACATGAAAGGTGGTCGGTAGAGACACAGGACACTGGCATGTCTTCAGTAGATTGGGACTCCATTATGCACGCAGTGCAGCCATTGTCAAGGATCAGCCCCAGCATGACCCTGTCTGGTCAGTACGTATGGTTGGAGTGGGGTGGGGTGGAGTGGAGTGGAGTTGAATGGAGTGGAGTGGAATGGAGTGGAGTGGAGTGGTTGCAACTTATCACACTTGTTCTTACAGGCTTTGGAGGGCTCTGAGGGCTGTGAGGAAGGTGAGGGCTGACAGATCCCCAACCACATTGTTCATTCCTGACATTCCACTGACATGGTTTGGGGCAGGGAGTAGAGTTCTTGAGGAAGATTAGTAAAAGCCGAGCCGATCTTATGATGGGTTGGATGAGATATGGGCTCACAATAAGCTTGAAGGTGGAATTTATTGGCCAATGGAAAGCAACTTTAAGGGAGGAACGACCTTCACGGGAAGGGCACAGCCTGAACATGAGCAATCCCTGAGCCGAGGCGACTCGAGCCGGGCTCAGCTCAGTCGAGCTCAGCCGGGCTCAGCCGAGTCGAGTCGACACGACTCAAGTCAAGTTGATTCAAGTCGAGTTGAGTGGGTGGGGTAATGCATTGAGAGAACGGGCTGAGTCATATGAACTCAGATCAACCGGAGTTGGGAATAAAAAAAAACATCCAACTTCACTGCACATGCAATCAAGTCAAATAAGCAAGTTGGGTAACAAAAAACATTCACTCGCTGCTATGTCTAACAATGTCTCATACCCATGAGGAGTAGTGATGAAAGTACTCAGATTAGTAGACTCAGTACTACAGATCGCTACTCTTAGAAGGCTTGCTGCGTTTCGAATCCAACAAATTTCAAATGATGACGGCGGATTCCTTGCATGATGAGGACCAGGGAGGAGAGGACGGACAGCACAACAAGTGGAGGAATATGCAGCGCAGTCTAATCTGCACGGGGCTGGTTTGATTGGAACCTTCTATTGCACAGTAAGGCTTCAGAATTATGCTTTTGTTTTTGTGCTATAAACGCACGTACACCTACTCTACTTACGCGTGCAAAGCGTACAGTACCTGCTTGCTTATGTGTGTTCCACCATTCCAGTGCGTGCAGAAAGATGCAGGGAAAGCAAAGCAAAGCATGCGGCGGCAACCATTCTAGAGGAGAGGATGCAGGGCATACAGAGAAGATGCATGGCATACAGCGAGCGCAGGTTGGTGAGACTTGAGAGCCACAAAAAGTCCTCCAAACGACCAGTGATGTTTAGTGCACCAATGTTGCTGAGAGAGGGAAACGGGGAAAGGAGAAACAAATCGAGATAGTGGTGGGGCCAGAAGAATACGGAATAAGCAAGTCAAGATGTGAAGGTGAAAAGATGCTGTCTTTGTTATCGAGGTTTGAGATGCCTCAAAACTCACACACATTGCGACCAAGAAGGAGGCGAAGGAAGGTGGGTGCCAGGGCAGGGATTGAGGAATCAAATTGCGTTAGTTCAATAACTGGTGATGTATGTCTGCATTGTTGGTTTGAGCTCCAGCTAGCTTGATGCTCCTTTGGAATCACTGTGTTGTATGCAAGCATGCACACCTCGTAGTAGGGATGAGCAAAGGGCGAACACGAACATGTTCGTGTTCGCCCCTTCTCGAACACGCCCTTTTGCCTACATTTGAGACTACACTCTGGCAGGCAGCCTAGTATATTGTGTATATACGCTAAAAGATGCATGATTCCTACGCCCGGGGCAACCCCCGAGAAAAAGAGAGAGAAAAATATGGAGAAAAAAAGACAAGACACGAATATACAGAATGACCAGCAGAAGGGGGAGAAAGACATGCATATTTTGCACAGCATCGTCAAACACCTCCCATGTGCAATTTGAAAGTCGAACGGACTCGTACGTGACCAACACTAACGTAGGTTGAGACAACTTGAAACTCATGCCATACCTCACTCACCACACCCAGTAACCGATGCGAGAGTGAGGCTATGTTGCACTATACGCTGGGGGCTTTTTTCGTATCACGTTTATGCGTTCACGTATAAACGGAAAAACGTGATACGGGAACAAATACGCGATACGCCTGGACGGGCAGCCCGTCGAAAAAAAAAATGTTGCGACCGTTCTCGCGATCTGTGATTCTCCGTAACCTAATTTTGACATCTGAAAGTCGAATGCCTTCCCCCGCACCCACCCTCCCCTTCCACCGCACATAACCTCACACCACCTCCCAAACCCAACCCTTCCCTTCCAACCACACTTAGGCTTTCACGTCGTCAGCTTCGAAAACCTATGTCGACCGCTAATGTCGCAGCTGGACGCAGGTAGGCAGAGGGGTGCAGATCTGGCATTCCGCCGCCAGATCCGCGCGATTCTAGTAGTCCGCCAGCAGATCCGCGCGATTCTAGTAGTCCGCCAGTAGATCGACGCAGATCGGCAAGAAACATTGATTATAGGGGCCATCACTTGCTCCCTGGCACTTTTTTCCCCTGCCCGGAACTTTTTTCCCCTGCCCGGGCGAACGTATTTGGAGCGTATCCTGGGGCGGAAATCCCCCGTCTCACGTTCGTACGTAAGCGTATAAGTCGAACGCGACTGATACGCGAATCGCGTATAGTGCAACATAGGAGTGAGGTGCAGCACTGACAGGTATGTGAGGCTAGACAGACGGTGGAGCCGTCACCAGACAGTGCAGTCATAGATATGTCTCTGGTTAGTTGGGGTGGAGGGGGGATAAGGAGAGGGATAGTGAAGAGAAAAAAGCAGGGCAGACTGTTGCGGAAATCCTATGCTAGATCCTAAGGTGCTTCAAAAAGTAGGGATGCATAGCGATCAGTTAGTGGAAGAGTCACAATAAATGCCAGGCAGGCACAATGCAGCTTTGGGCTCGATGCTGCTCTAAGCTAAGCCGGCCAGGCCTTTGCTATAAGAATGAAAGGCCAAACGAGGAGGCTTGAATATAAACATTTTTTTTTGCAAGAGATGTTGTTTGTACTCACAGGTGTGCAAGAGCTGAGAGTGAGAGGATGGAGGATGGTAGAGAGCCAGAGAATTTTGAGGCGTAGATGTCCCTGTGAGTTTTGCATGGGGACGGGTCATGGGAATTATAAGACGCGTCAAAACAAAATCATTCTCTTGAAAATGTATCAAAGTTTCCTTGGTACAATGTACGGCGGCATAGAGAAACGTCTCGAGACAGAAGGCTCACTCCTGAAAACGAGTTTTGGGGTATGAATGAAGCAAGGGAGTGAGTATCTGAGTGGATGGGGTGGGATATAGCAGGGAGGGAAAGGGAAGAGAGGAGAGTGCGGAGGGCGAGGAATGGGAAGAGTTGGAACTTGGAGCGTGTGTGTGGGGGTAATTTGTGGAGGAGGGTGTGCAGGGTGAGGTGGGTGAGTCGGAGGGTGTGGGCATGTGAGGGCATGTGAGGGCATGTGAGGGCATGTGTGAGCATGTGTGAGCATGTGAGGGCATGTGAGGGCATGTGTGAGCATGTGTGAGCATGTGAGGGCATGTGAGGGCATGTGCGAGCATGTGAGGGCATGTGAGGGCATGTGTGAGCATGTGTGAGCATGTGAGGGCATGTGAGGGCATGTGCGAGCATGTGAGGGCATGTGTGAGCATGTGTGGGCATGTGAGGGCATGTGTGGGCATGTGAGGGCATGTGTGAGCATGTGAGGACATGTGTGAGCATGTGAGGGCATGTGTGAGCATGTGAGGGCATGTGTGAGCATGTGAGGGAATGTGTGAGCATGTGAGGGCATGTGTGGGCATGTGAGGGCATGTGTGAGCATGTGAGAGCATGTGAGGGCATGTGAGGGCATGTGTGAGCATGTGAGGGCATGTGAGGGCATGTGAGGGCATGTGTGAGCATGTGTGAGCATGTGAGGGCATGTGAGGGCATGTGCGAGCATGTGTGAGCATGTGAGGGCATGTGAGGGCATGTGTGAGCATGTGTGAGCATGTGAGGGCATGTGAGGGCATGTGTGAGCATGTGTGAGCATGTGAGGGCATGTGAGGGCATGTGAGGGCATGTGAGGGCATGTGAGGGCATGTGTGAGCATGTGTGAGCATGTGAGGGCATGTGAGGGCATGTGAGGGCATGTGAGGGCATGTGTGAGCATGTGTGGGCATGTGAGGGCATGTGAGGGCATGTGAGGGAATGTGTGAGCATGTGAGGGCATGTGTGAGCATGTGAGGGCATGTGTGAGCATGTGAGGGCATGTGTGGGCATGTGAGGGCATGTGTGAGCATGTGAGGGCATGTGTGAGCATGTGAGGGCATGTGTGAGCATGTGAGGGCATGTGTGAGCATGTGAGGGCATGTGTGAGCATGTGAGGGCATGTGTGAGCATGTGAGGGCATGTGTGAGCATGTGAGGGCATGTGTGGGCATGTGAGGGAATGTGTGAGCATGTGAGGGCATGTGTGAGCATGTGAGGGCATGTGTGAGCATGTGAGGGCATGTGTGGGCATGTGAGGGCATGTGTGAGCATGTGAGGGCATGTGTGAGCATGTGAGGGCATGTGTGAGCATGTGAGGGCATGTGTGAGCATGTGAGGGCATGTGAGGGCATGTGAGGGCATGTGTGAGCATGTGAGGGCATGTGAGGGCATGTTAACGCATGTGTGGGCATGCGAGGGTGTGAGAGACCAGCACTCACAGCAGGCGCAGGGAGGGCGGCAGAGAGAGGTCAGAGATAACCCCCTCGGCCTCATAGTTGTTGGTCAACACACTGTCGGACGGAGCACAGGGGTGGGGGTGCATAGGTGGGGGGAAACACTTTTGAGGTTTCTCAGATCAGAAGAGGTCAGAGATATCCCCCTGGGCCTCAAAGTTGTTGGTCAATCAACACTCTGGCGGACGGAGCACAGGGGTGGGGGGGGGGGGGGAGAGACAGTAGAATGGCCAGCTCTGAATTGAGCTTTTGAGGAGCCTGAAAAACACAGCCTGATGGCCGGAGAAGAGACGGTAGGGGGGTATGGAAAGACAGGGTTTGCTTTGGGAGGAGAAGGGAAAATGGGAACACAAATGAGGGAATATCTAGCACAAGGACACTCAATAACGACGGCAGCACTAAGGTGAATGAGCGGGATGTTTTCTTGGGGTAGTGAGAATAGAGGAGTTTTAATAAGATGTGCCAATATAAGCAGGGAAGATTCAGCAGGTAGACCCAGAGTGACAGGGCAGGAGAGAAGGTGAAGAGTGGAGGAGTGGAAGAGAGGAAGAGAGGAAATCTGAAAGAGGGTGGCTTACAGATAGCGAAGGTAGGGCATGCGAGAGAAGAGAGAGAAGACATTACGAGGCGTCCACCCTTTGATGAGCTCCCCATCAGACACGTTCCTGCCAGGAGAGCGATTGTTGGGCAGAGCACACACATGCATGCAATGCACACAAAAACATGACACACAAAACACATGCATATACACACGGCATCATGCATGTATCCACACACACACACTCCGTGCATGCATGAACACACACACACATGCATGTATGGACCACACACACAGTGCATACATAAAGAAACACACTCGCACAATCTAAAAGAAACCACTGTCCGCCCCAACAACTCGGAAACGACCCCCAAATCGCTGTTCTTCTCATCGCAATCACACCTCTTCTCTGCACGCACGCACACTGAAACGATGAAGCCCTGCGCGTTGCACTGGATGTACTCCCACTGGTCGCAGCGGATCACACCAGGGCAGAGAGCAGAGAGCGACTTACACGGTGGTAATAAAGCCCTGCGCGTTGCACTGGATGTACTGCCACTGGTCGCAGCGCCGTGAGCGGTTGGAGTTGGACGGCCACAGCTGCCACGCGGCGTTCAGAGCCTCCAGCGCACCCACTGCCCGCCCGCCCCGCCGTGCGCCCACCCCCGGGAACACCAACAAAGAAATTGGGTGAAGTTGAGCGAAATTGGGTAAAATTGAGTGAAAGTGAGCGAAATTATGGGAAATCTGGGGTAAATGGGAGCAATATGGGCGATTGTTGAGGCTGGTGATTTCATGGTATGGTACTGTGGTACTGTTGTACCCGCCATACACGGCATTCTTAGTAGTACTATGTAATGCACATGCACTCATGGCATTGCATCGCATCAACCCACAGCGTTTTACTATGGCAGCGAAAGGAAAGGAAGCGACATGGCCGTGTCATGCAGGTGAGGGCCGTGTGCGGGGGGGGCGCCGCCTGTGGGTGTGCGAGGAACGACTCTTTTCCTGCCCGACAGGCGTCCCTCAGGCTACGAAACCGTTTCTTGACGGACGAGAAGAACCCCA